GTTGTCTTTGTTATATTTTCATAGATATATGTGGTTTTGGGAGGAGATTTCCGCTGCTCTACTCACGCCGCCATCCTGGCTCCGCCTCTGTAAAATCATCTTTTATTAACTTCCCAAGAGGCTTAGAAGAGCAGAGACAAAATGTAGTAAGTGAGCAATGAGCAGTCTCCATTTTAGACATTACATTACCATCCAGTCCTCTAGATATTCTGTAAAATGAACTTCACACAAGGAATTTCTTGATCCTGTTTTTCTCCAAGACAGTGGTTACCCTCAAGCAGCAGGAACGTATCATTTAGACTACTTGCCTTGCCCTAAGATAGGGTAGACAATGGCTGATTACCATAAAATATATTAGGACTCTTACCTCTTAACTCCCTGGTTTTTAAAACGCAATCTTAATCTTAAAATGGAATCCCTCATTTTTACTCCACTGTTTGTATCTCGACATTTTTCATCATAGGCAGGGAAAATTAGTCCTGATGCTTGTTCCATGACCCTGCTCTGCATGGCATGTGCACCACTCTCCCAGCACCACTGTACGGTCACCAGCCTGGAAGCTCTCCTAACCTAGCTCTTTGGGGTTTTCCTGGAGGCCTTATTACACAGGCCAGACTGATGAAATCTTTAGCCATTGGTGATTGAGTCAACCACCAGCTCCTCTCCTTCCCTCCTGGGAGGCTGTGGGGTGGGACTGAAGTTCCAATCTTCTAAACAGTATTTAGCTCCACTGGCAACCCACCCCCATCCTTAGGTCACCTAAGGGCTTTCCTAAAGTCACGCATTAATAAGGACACCTTTATTGCTCTTAACACGAAATTCCAAGGGTTTTAGAAGCTCTGAGTTAGGAGTGGGGTTGAAGACCAAATATGTATTTTTTATTATAAATCATAATAATCACACCATGGAGATGTTTAAATCTTAACCTGATAATCATCTTACACTAAAAGGTAAGGAAATACACCAAGTCTAATGGAGAATCAAGTGAATCCTTTCAAGAGGCCTTCATGGGGTCTGTTAAAAAAAAAATCTATCCAAGTAAATTTTAAGACTTAATTAGCTTTATTATTAAGTATCCATAAATTGGGCAGCACCCCTCTAGCAAGTCGAGAGATGCTCCAAAGGGATACAGAGAGGTTTTTAAATGCAGGATGAGAGTAACAAACAGAAAGAGGACTGCTTTGGATGAAGTCACCTTCGTCTGGGGACAGGATGGTCTTATTAGGTGGATTCCTTTGGGGGATGGAGAGGACACATGTGACCTTTATCTTATTGATGCTAACTAAAATGTATCCTGAGTGACTGCATCTCTGGGGGAGGTTGAAACTACTTAGGTATTCAGTTCGGGTTTGACTTGGCCTAGCAGAAGTGACACTATGTTGGGTCTTTCTTTACAGGCCTTAGCTGCTTCAGGCCTAAAGCCTGCCTCCCCTGCAGCCTAAGATGTCAGTGAGAGGGCCACCACCACCATCACAGATCCCAGAGCTGTCCTGGGCCTCAAGTCTCCACCCTCAGGGCTGGTCCTGTCTTGCTTTACAATATCCCCTTCTCCTGCCCTCCAAAGCATGCCAGCATTCTGTGCAGGCTGGAGCCAGGGGATGTTGGCCCATGCCCTGCCCATCAGCACCTCCCTCACAGCAGCTTTGGGGGCTTATCTGAGTCTGAGCTCTACCTTCAACTGGTCTTGATTAAACAAAAATAGTTTTTTGCCCTTTCCAGTTAGTTTACAACACCTGTCTGAGCCAAAGACCTCCAGCCTCAGTCCATTCTCAGGAAGAGGAAGTAATTACACACTCAGAAAGCAGGTTCATCATGGTCCCATTCTCTGAACTCCACATGGTCTTCTGCACCTTCTACAGAACCACTGCTTCACGACCCAGAAGTGAGGTAGCCCAGATCATATGGATAGGACTCAAGTTCAGGAGGTCCTGACCAAAATTTCCTTCCCACCCATAATACACACCACCTCCCAGTGGTTGAGGGTGCCAGGTAACTCAATGGTAACTGGTTTGGTTGGAGTTAAGTTCTTTACCTTTAAACAACACAAGAATAAAGGGAAACCAGTACCAGGGTCCAGATTATTGCCTAAGACCAGTATGTTTTGAGTTTCCTATGGGCCAAATGGGTTGGTACATTACTTTGTGTGGTTAATAATCATTATGCAGGGTTTACTCAAAGGAGGGCAAATTCTTCACTTTCTGCCCCAAAGCCATATTCCCCTGCACAGTTTCAATACAACTATGAAGAAAGTAACTCTTGATTCTATAAGGGGTGTATCAAGATACTGTGATACTGGCCATACCATTTTGAAAAGCCCGACAAATAAAGAGAAACTTGCTGGCTGGATCTGAGAGAACAATTTGTTACAATGAACCAGGAATGCAAGATTCCACTGAAACTGGACAGGTGACAGAATATGGTTGAATTTAATTAAACGTTCAAGGGAAATAAAAGAGGTCAAACAAAGCCAAAGAATGAAGCCCAAGATTGGTTTGGGATAAACAGAATAATAACAGCATTTCAGCACGGTTATCTCCTGAGCCCTCCCAGCAGGTATTTGTCACCCCCCCTCCCACATACCCCTTTCCCTCCTGAAGCTTCGACCAAACCAAATGGCTGTTTCCTCTCTTGCAGGTGTAAGCCAATCAACAGTAACCTGGACATGACGCAAAGCCAAGAGGGAAGTTTATGCACCTCATCCCAAGGTGGAAAGTGTACACACCCTACTCAGCACTGGTTATGTGGTGTCGATGTACATGGCAGTTAACTTCAATTAGCTAATCACATCAGAGCTGCTACCACATGTAACCTGGTATGTGCCCTGTAGCATGTCAGTGTTCCTAATTTACTACACTAAAATATCAATGTGGCAGAATGCACTTTGAGCTCCAGATTTTCTAAATACTTCTAAGAGGCTGTTTAAGATGATGCAGAACAGAACTGTACGTCAGACACCCAGGCCTTAGGGATGAACATCAATGGGCTTTCTGAGACTTTTTCATTGGGATACAGAGATCAACAGAGGCAATGTTAGAATGTCAGAGCGTGATAGGTGAAGGGAGGCAGAGGTGAGAAGAGGGTGTCCTAGCCACAAGGCTAGCCCATTTCACATTCTAAGATAAGTCTGGGCAATGGGAAAAAATCCAAACAAAACAAAACCCAAGTCAGAGGAAAAAAAAAAAAGGGCTTCAACACAACACAGTATCAAAAAAGAAAACGGAACACACTAAATACACAACTGGTGGCAAGTCAGTCCACAGCCTATTGTGACAGGTCCTTCCAGCATCCCTCAGGTTTCTGCTCAGGTGTTATCTCGAGGTTATGTACAGATGTGGGGACTTTTAACAAGACTCTCTCACAGGAGGGCGGGCAGGTTTCAGTCATTGGTTTCGGGATCTGTCTGTGCCATGTAGGCATCCAACTCAGCATCCAGGTGTCCTTTTGTTTTCGACATGTATGCATCCAACTGGTTGTCCAGCTGTTCCTTGGTCAGCACGGGGCGAGCAAGGGCGCCTCTCCCTCTCCCTCGTCCACGGCCTCGGCCTCCAAAGCCCCCTCTTCCCCGACCTATCATACCCCGACCTGGCCCAAGGGAAAAAAAAAAAAAGACAGTCACAAGTAGGTTTAATGAGTTCTGGGTAGATGCCCCTTACAGCAGCGGGGCCTAGCTGAGAAAGGCTCAAGGGCAGGGCAAAGAGGAGGAATCTGGAAAAACAGGAAACACACCGGGTAGAAAGCCACACACGGAAAGCACACAGAATGAATCCCTTATCACATGCTCGCCTCTAAGTGCTAGTAAAAAATTTTTGAATCTATCAACAAAGTAGGGGGAAATAATTAACTGACAGTTAAAAAAAAAAACAAAGAAAAAAACCTTCATCACTCCTAAATTACCTAAAATTTGAGACCCGCTTTAAGTTCATAAATAAAACACATTTTGAATAACCCCTTTAGTAAGATAGGGAAGAAGTAACAAGGGCACAGAGAAACGCGTGTGAGCTAGATAGTTTTTAAAGCCTTATTGGAGATTCTTCTGGAAAATTAGTTCACCTCTCCTCAACTTGCCAAACCTAACGAGCTGATCCCATGTCAGGAGACTAAGGAGAACAATGCGGGAGATGAGGAAAAACATTTTGAGTAGTCCCAGCCACTTCTATCTCTGATTGTAGTTGTCTTTTAACAATTATGGTTATCTGAGAGGTGGTTTCAATTCACATTAACAAAACATACCCAGCTTTCTGAAAAGCTACTTTAGACTACCCAACCCCTGTGGTATTGCTCTCAGAAACCAAGCCAAGATAATTTGGAAACATGCTACTTCATCCTGAAACCCAAACTACCTTGCACTTCACTTGTAAGCCAAGCAACATATAATGGGAGAGAAGCAAACAAGCTCTTGGTCATCAAATATCCTTTCCTAAGTTATTATTCCTTAGCAACTTCAGAGTCATAAATTATGGAAGACCCCCCACACACTTTAAAAGGACCAAAGCAGATACACACTTACAAGAATAGAATTTTTTTCCTCCTTGGACAGGTGTTGTTGGGAGTTTTGCACTAAACTCTAAGCCAGGTAACTCCCATGAGATTAAACAGCAGCAACACCATTAAACTCTTTTCCAAACTGGGTCATGAGGTCACAAGTATCACTAAGTCTCAAAGGTAAGATTATCAACAAGAGTCAGTCAGTTAACTTAAAGGATACCATCTAGCTTTCTACCTTGATCAAAAAAAAAAGTCATCTCTGATTTCCCAAAGACACAAACTTTACCTTGAATTTACTTGGCTTCAGAGTCAATACTCAGCTCCTAGTCTCACCATCCTATTTTTGTGTACCTCCCTCTTCTCTATTCTTAGACTCAAAATGGGGATTTGCAGTATGGTGTGTGGTGGGGCAGGGACAGAGAAAGGTAAAGCCTCAAACAGACCATTCTGTCATTTTAAACAATACAATTTAAATTCGCAAGAGCCTGGAAGAATGCACCTAATATAGCTCTGTAATGTGTACCTGACTGGTTCTTGGAAAACCTGTGAAAAGACTTTTGCACTACCAGCATGTGAATTTAGAAAATAAGCCAGTTTCAAAAAACAAAACAAGACAAACAAATAAGCCTGCCTATGACTTGAAGCTGTGCAGAAAAGTGGCTCTGAGTTTTGAAGGGAGAGAAATAAGGGGAAGCTATTCTCTGAAGTTGGTAGCTGACTAACCTCTACCACCGATTCCGCCACGACCCATAGCTCCACGCCCTAGGCCCCCTCTCCCAGGACCTCCACGACCTCGAACACCACCTCTTCTTAAGCCCATTCGGGGAGCTACGGCTCGTCCACCTCGGAGCAGGTTTTGACCTTGGAGAGGAGGCATACAATGTATATGCAGGTAAATCCAAGAGAGACAAAGTAGATTCTAACCAAAGGCAGGCGGTAAGGGTTAATCAGTTAATTCGGTTAATACTTAGGTTGGCTGGGGCAGGCTGCACACTGAGTGTGAACAGATTAGGCTGATGTTTATTCAATCAGTTCAAGAAATCTGACCACAATTCCTTTTTTGGGAAGAAGCTGGGAGTTAATTAGTAAGCACATACATTTAATAAATACCTATTGAATAATCAGACAGATGCCTAGCATAATGATAGATTAAAAAATAAATGATATGCTTCCTGCTCTCAATACATTTGTATAGGGGACAAGAACCATACAGGGAATGGCCTAACAGTGCCTAAAATATAACATGTAGCTAAGTGCTATGGGTCAACTCGTCCTTTTTTCCAAATTTAACAAGAATGTTTCACCAGCACCAGGAACAGAGATGGTTAGTTAAGATACAGGCCAACAGACCCATAAATTTGTGAGATTTAACTTATTTCTAAAACTTGAATGTGCTTTGATTCAAGCAGCAGCAGAGTGTTTTAAAATGGAATGGAGATGACATGAATTACCTGTTTTTATGCAGGTCATAGCCTCTCACCACTGCACATTATCAGAAAAGGAATGGTATCGATAAAAGACATGCAGCACTATTAAAAATATGTGATTTCCAAAGTTAATTATTATTAATACAAATTTAGGCCTAAAGATGTTAAAACAAATGTGTCCATAAGCAGCCCAAGAGAAAGGGAGGGATAGGGCCCGACAATTATCAGGTACACAGCACTGACCTCGGAGCGACATCCCACCCCTAAGCAGGGTTCTTGTGGCACGTCCCCCACGTAGTCCTCCTCTGGGCAAGCCTCTCTGGATTATGGGCAGGCCTCGTCCTCCGATTGCTCCCCTGGCCAGGGTCCCTATGGGTCGGCCTAACCGTGCCTGGATGTTACTCTTACCCAGGCGCTGCTTTAAGCTCTTCTGGAAGAAAAGGTGTTGGGGGATTGAGATCAAAAAAGCGATCCAGTGGGATTTGGCAACTCACAGCGCAGAGAAGCAGCAAGTGAGATGTCTGTGGTGGGAGATAAACTTGCTGTGGTATCATAAGGATCCCAAACAAGAAATAAGCCTCTGCCTCAGAACATGGCATAAAAGAATTCTGATCCTGAGTGTCTAAGAAGCTTGAGTATGGTCCTGTGAAACTGGCATCACCACAAATTACCTCACTACTTGGCTACGTAAGTCATACACCACACACCGCTACTTGGAACTTAAGTTTTGGTGAGAACATTCTGTATTTCCAATCCTGCATGCATTCTGTTGTTTCTGAACCACAATGATACAGCCTGATTCATACCTGCCCAAAGACCACCACTAGTCTTCACAGGCTTCCTCAAACACCATGGGAAGTCCATTATACTCTGTACAAAATTTAATTTCTCAAAGAACAGTGTGCTCCATTTTCCTCTGAGTATCTATCTCCAGATGGTCCACTTTTTACCTTAAGATGTAAGTAACGAAAGTCAAACCTCCTTTCCTTGTATTTCTTAAAAAAGTCATAATCCTATGTCTACAACAGCTCCATTCAATATAATGACCTTTAATTCAAAATAAACATGTAATTCAAATGTGTCTCCATAGAGTCAGCCAAACTTGTGTTTGAATTAAGACAATTCAGTTATAATTACAAAATAGAGCTACATCTGAGGACAAGGACTTATCAAAGACAGAGATTTTCAACAATGACCACCTCTCAAGAGAATTAAATTCCTTCAAAAGAAAAGGTGACTGTGTAACCTAGAACACAACCAAGACCCAGCCATCAGTCAATATGAACACAAATTGTATGTGCTCTCAGGCTTTTGACCACAATGATTTCTTTGTAACTATATGCCGAGTTATTACTACCAGCCTTCTAGCACAGGATCATAAATGGCTCCTCATTAGAGGGCCAGGCTCTGAACATGACACACTCAGCACGAGCAGGTATAACCAACCATACCATAAGAGCCCGGCACACACCTGACAGCACACAACTGTGAAATTAGCAGTCATTCTACAAGTCTCTTATCTCTAGTCACCCCAAGCATATTCTCCCAAGATCTGCACTTCAAGGGAAGAATGACAGTGCTTGTTAAGTTCTTCTCCTTTCCCAATCCTTTGTTGCCACCAATACTGGTCTCTAACATTGCCAGGAAGCTTAAGGATGGCAACTGTATCATCCAGTTTCCACTCTGGAGCTATGCTATATGCTAAGGTAGCCATTAGCCACACATGGGTATTTAAATACAAGTAAATAAAATCTAAGATCAAACTCCTCAACAGCCACACTGCTCAACAGTCACAAGTGACTAGTACTGTACTCAGGAGCATAAATATGTAAGTTTTCTATCACAGCAGTTAAGTTCTGTCAGATAGCACTACACTATTTAAAGCTTCTTGCTGAAATATCCTTTGGAATGGTCTTTTTTTCCTAGCAGTTTTAAAATATTTACTCTTGGAAAAAGTGGTGCCTTTTGACTGCTTTCCTGAGTCAGGGATGAATGCAGTCACTCCAAGGCTTAAGGTGCTGAAGCAGAAGGCCTCGTTTATTTTTGGTCAGTGAGTCCAAGGGCTCAGAGGGGTGGGGGTGGGACGGTGTTATATTTAACTGCTAAATTTATGCACAGCCATGCAGTGCTACCAGTTAAAGTCCTTACAGTTGCATAGCACCGCCCTTCAGACGCCCAGCCACAGCTTGGACATATCCTTCCACAGCCACTGTCCGGACTTGCATATAAGGTCTATGAATAATAAAGAGCAGGTTTTATTTCAGGTCTGAATAGGATCGCCTATTACCGGAAATCTGAAAGAGAACCCACTAACTCATATTACTCAGTGCTCTTGCTTTGCTGACAAAACTGGGTGCAGTGGAGGAGAGTACTGCCCTACTGTTTCTGTCTTAGTATTGAAAACATACAACCAGGGCCATTCAGACTCCCTGCACTACAGGAGAGAACAGAATTATTTACCTAATTTACAAATTATTTAACAGGGAATAAAGGATTTTTTGAAGATCTAAAACAGAAACCAAAATTCCTTTGTGGAAAAAGCTTGTGAATCTACTTTAGGAGCAAAGGATCAGAAAACAAGAGAAGTTAATATTCACTGATAAACAGGCCACAGCCACACTGATGACAAACTCCCTAAAAGAGAAAGACAACAAAAAGTTACTTATTGGTACCTGCCAAAATAGGAGTTCCCTGAACTTCTCTTTCCTCCAGAGAAGTTTCAGCTTTTTGCCCTGAGCCACCTTGTAGTCATCCACCATGTCCCGACAGCCTCAGCAGACTGCCTGACAGAGATCATCAGCTGCTTCTGAAGCATTCAGATCCATTCTCTCACCTGCTTGAGCTTTAATGCTGCCTGGACAGAGGGTCTGTTCTCCATCTGCTGGGCCAGTCTTCTGTTTCTGGCACTGGCTAGCTGCTGCTGTTGCATCGAGGCCCGAATATTCACTGGCATCGGCTGTTTGTTCTTCAGCATATTAGTAAAGCTTCAAGGTCGAACAAAATGGATGTTTAAATAAAAGCTTTATTACAAAACATTTATTGGCATTTTCATGGCTTGCTAGACCAGGAGCTCCAGATCCCACGAACTTTAAGTAAAGTGGTACACCAGATCAAGGCTGACGTGGGTTAAAGACTCCTCTGCTTCCACAACTTGCAAGAATCAGAAACTTGGGAATGCAGCTAAGTGCAGCACATATCAAAAGTGATAACAAGGGCTCAGGTAATGGCTTTTAGAGAGGTGGAAGGTATGAGAAACACACAATAAGCAGATACAACAATGACAAGAGACAGAAGATGTAGTTTCACAGACAGACAGAGTTAAGTCAAAACCTTGGGGGACCTGAGTGCATTTTAAGGGCAAATATAAAGAAGGTTTAGAGCACCTTCCAAGCCCAGGGGAAAATAAACCCATATATTTCATAGGAGTGCATATTTTCTTATATATTTGTTCACTCAGTAACATGTGAATATGGAGAAGTAGTGTATAATATCCTGATAAGGAGAAGCACATATGCTTCAGAAAAGGCAAAAAGGTAGGCAGATCTTTTAGTGATCTAGCATCAACTTAAAATCATTGGTCAAAGGCACTCAACGAACAAAGTTCTCAGAGACAGAAACTGCCTTTAGTCAGTCTCAAACGATTACTTTTTCTGACAGTGATTACTTCTGAGAAAGTTTGATTAGTTCAATCATTTAAGAGTTTGGGAAGACAGTAGCTGGGTACCATGCTACCCAGCTGCACCGCCCCTGTCAAGTTTAATGGAATGGAAGGAAGAGAAGGACACTTAACTGTAAAAGAATCCAAAACAAGAACAAACTAAAAGCAGAACAGAAATAAAGTGAAATGGAGCAAAGCAAGTGCCTCTTACAAGGCCCAAGAATGACATTCCAGGGCCTTTGGACATATTCAGAGCTTACTACCTGCCTCTTACAGGCCAGACACAACACTGTTGGCCTTGGACTAGGCAGCAAGCCTAACTGCAGCCAGGGTACCATGCTACCCAGCTGCACCGCCCCTGTATCAATGTAAAAAAATGTGAAGAGAAGGGAGGGTGTGAGGAGTCTTTTTAAAATACATCCCACCAGGTATTTCAGACAGCTTAACATAAAAATCTACTGATAAGGGGTTTTGAAACAACTCCCCAATTCGTTTTGTGTACCACATGAGATGCAACTAAGAACAGAGGTCTGTAGCCTTCTGTTGGCATTTAGTTTAAAACCGGTTTTTGTGCATTGGACCCCAGGGCCAGTTTAAGTAATGTTTTCTTATGAACGAGCTGAAGTTGCTGTTGGCTGCCTCACCGCTCATTTAGAGACATCTTGGTGGTGCTTTTTAGCACAACTTTCGGTGTTGACTGTGCAGCCATCTTCAAATCCCGAGAATCTACAAAGGACAACAGGCAGAAGAGCAGATCAGAGTAAGGACACCCTCATTCCTACACTGAACAAAAAGGCCTGTTATCAACGACTACTATCACCTAAAATTCACTGCAGGTGGTTAAATTTGAAAGTTATTCTTCACTAATAAACTTCAAGGCCACAGAACAAAAAACATCTGTCCAAGCCTCCAAAAAGGGCAGACCTAGACCTAGCTAAAGGAAGTGCTTGGCTTTTAAGCAAAAGTAGCCCTTCTCAAACTTGGCTGTAAGGAGCTTAAAAAAAAAAAAAAACCAAAGAAACCTGCGTCCACACCAATTAAACCATCATCTCTGGTGGTGAGGTCCGGGGACGAGCAACTGGAAGGCAAAAGGGTACCCAGGTGCTTCTCACGTGCAGCCCAAAGTGAGCAGCACTGACCTAGAGCTGATCCAGGCACGCCTAGTTTCAAAACTGACTTTGACTCTAAAATCAAGTCGGAGCCTTAACAAACGCCTGGGGTAGGGAGCAGGAAAGGCTTCCTAAATGGGCATTTACCTGGGAGTTACAGCTCCCAGGGAGCGCGCTCTAAAATTTAACCCTAAAAGTCATTATTTTCCAACATTCCCCCAAATCCCGTAGTCCTCCCTCCTTTGGTCTTCCTACCATCTCAAGACCGCTAACTGTGCTCAACTGCCAGTTTTCCTTTTCGTACCTGTCAAATCCCAGCCTTTCCCATCAAGCCCGGCGCGTTTCCACTCCGGGCCCTCCCCCACCTCCCTCCCGGGCCCCGCCCCTCGTGCGGGCCCCCACGCTCGAACTTCCACATCCCTCCACCCCAGGTTCCGCGTCCGCCAGCCCCGCCGCTCGCCGAGACCTTTCCCCTCCTCACCGCACACACCCACCAAAGGAAACGGACGCCAGTGCTCCTGCCGGGGCTGCCACCACGGCTGTGGCAGGCGGGCCGGGGGCCGGCCGAACCTGAGTTCACGGTGGAGGGGCTCGGGTTAACTTGGGCGGCTGGCTACGTGTGTATGTGGTAGACTATCTAGGTTAGTTCGCCGTTGTTGGCTGTCTGTCCGGTCGGTAGGTCGGTCCGCCTGCTCGCCCGGCCTGCCCTTTCCTGCCTTTCGTCTAAGCAACCACAGCCGCTGCCGCCAACTCCCGCTCGGTGTCCAAAACAAAATGGCCGCCACGCCCAGTGCGGAGTGGGACCGGCTAAAATGGCGTCGACGCCATTACGTCATACGCCAGATCCGCGCACAACCGGGGGGCGGGAAGATTTGAGTTGCGCCTGCGCGGGGATAGGGGCGGAGCCTATGAGAAGGCGGGGCTTTAGCAAAGGCTCGGTCCGCGGTCCGCGGTCCGCCCCGTGCTTCGCAGGCAGAGGAACGGGGTGGCATGTGGTACTTGTTGGGGCTTCGCAGTGGATGCAGGTTTGCTGGTAATATGGGCCCCTGGGAGTGGTTTCGATTGCGAGGAAAATTAGTCGAATTTCCTCTCCACTGCGCTCCTTCACGCCCCGCCCCTGGCCAAGGCCGACTTTCTCAAAGTCTCTAAGCTGGTCTTGCCTCCAGCCCACCGGCCTGGGTAATATACACTGCTTCTCTCGTTTCTTTATTCGCCCTGTTCGGATTGTCGTGGAGTGCCACAAACGCCCCAGCGTAGGCCTGGGGGCCAGTGCTGGGAACGCGCCGCTACGGAGCCTGAGCTTATCCTCCCTGCCAGTCCACATTTTCTTCCTCACTTCCCTCCCCAACTTGGCCTGAATATTATTAAATCCTTATTTGGGGGACCTTTGCGTCTGCTTCCCCCGTCCCTGTGCTCCTCATTTGCCATCCGTGTGGATTTTGATGTAGACCTACGTGGGATTTTTCTTATGCCTAGGTACGCACTAAAATGTTTGAAGAATGAGTGAATGAATACACCTTCAGCACTTCTTCCCCTCCATACACGTGCAGCATCAGGATCCTTTCATTTTCCTTCCCAGCATGTGTGTAAGTGTGTTCAATGGTCTGGCATCCTTACTTGGCTTTACCTATGTGAGGGTTAGGGTTGTGTTTGTTTTTGTTCACTGCTGACCCCCCGGTTCCTACACAATGTCTAGCACACGACAGACAGGTCATCAGTAAATATTCTTTGAAGGTTGAAGATAAATTCTTCCTCTGGCTTTAGCTGAGAATCTGATGTCTCCTCCACTTCCCACTGGAACCTTGAACCCCCACTACCTTCCTGGTCCTTAGCATTCCTCAAGTAGGAAGGTGTAATGGTCCTTTGACCTTCCTCCAAATAAGGTGAGTGGGGAATCAGCTTCCTTCACCTCCCCACCTACTTCCAGACCCCAAAGGAGACAGACCGTGGCTGGCGAGAGGTGAGCCTTTAATGAAAGATGAATTGCAGGCCTGGCCCTTCACTCTTGTGCCCCTGAAGGAGGGTGGGCAAAAGTGGGAGTGTGGGGAGGAAAAAATGGGGCGAAGGGGCAGATATGGGAGGGTGGAGGGGCAAGGCACTGCTGCCTGGGGTTGTCTGCTCAGCTGTTTTCCCAGAAGAAGTTGTTACAGGCCACTGTGAGGGCAGCCACGAGCACCACGTACTCCTGGAAGTCCACCTCCCCATCTCCGTTCTCATCTAGCTCCTTCATCACCTTGTCTACAGCATCCGCATCCTTCTGGGCCTGTGGAGAGTGGGGATGGGGAGGTGGGTGTATAGGGATACGAATAGCACTGGAGCAAAGGGAGCAAGGGGGATCTTTGGGGAGAAGGAGGCAGAGATGAGCAAGGAGGACTACATCTAACTGCCGGACTCCTCTGCTGCCCTCAAAATTAACAAACACTTGTGGCCTCCTGCCACCTACCAAGAAGCTCCCTAACATGGCTGAGTAGTGATAACAGCATCATTTATCATGTTGAGAACCCACAGGGCGATAGGCACTACACTAGGAGCTTCACAAGTATTGTCTAATTCTCACACAAGAAGTTAAGAGTTGGGTTTCGTTATTACCATCCTAGAAAAGAAACAAACTCATAGTCAGTGGTTTAAACATGCCAGAAGGTGGCACATAGCTAGAAAGTGGCAGGGCCAGAATTTGAACTCGGGTCTAACAACCTCAAAGCTGGTGCATTTTCTACTGGTGTCTCTTTTACTATTGGCCTCTATTAGCATTTGCAGCCTACTTCTCTTCATCCCTTACTCTGGTCAAAACTGCGGAGCATGCCGCATATTCTTCCTCCTGGACTTTTGTTCATGCTGATACCCCGATAATTCTCCAGTGGAAATCCTTGGCTCAAGTGCCACTTTGGAGAAGCCATCCCACTTCAGTCCAGTTAATATTCTCCCATAACTCTTTCTGGCACTTTGGTTAAGGCTCTGTTTGTGTCTTGAGTGGCTGGCCCAAGGCTTCATGGCATGGGTGGTAGTTGGGGGTTCACTGCCTCTGAGCTTCCTGTGAGCAAACCTGGGGCCTCTTTCAGTCCTTCACCTCTATTCTCTCCTGAGCATGTCACTCCCTGGTGTTCGTGGTGTACTTTCACATGTCAGTCTTTCCCTTCTAGATTGGGAGCCTTGTTACTGACTCATCTACGTGGGGCCTAGGGTAAACAGCTCATCAGTCAGTTGGCATTTTGACTTAAACCAGGAGTAGGGGAGCTGGAAAAACCCAGGAGAGAAGCCTGAGAGAGGAAGACGGTTGGGCTGAGCTGGAGTGGGGTGGGGAGATGGCAGGGAAGCACCCATTCTGTCCGCCACTCTGCTCACCTCCAGGAAGCCGGAGAGCTCCGTCTGCAGCAGCTCTTTCAGCTCCTTCTTGCTCAGCTTGTACTTGTCCCCCTCCTTGCCCGAGTGTGCGTGGAACACATTGATGAGAGTCTCCATCGCTGCCTCCAGCTCTGAACCCATCGCTCAGCTCACCTACCCACCCCCAACCATGGAAATGAGCTGGGGACCACGCTGAGGGCATCTAGAGTCAGGGTGAGGGGAGCCCTTAGGCCTGGCCCTGGTCCCATAGCTCAAACACCCTTGAGATCAGAGTCCCACAGCAGTTTACCTTTCCCAGAGATTTTATGATGTGGAGGGACCCAAACAGTCCTAACTCCAGACCTTTTCTCTCGTTCCCTCAGTCCATGCCCCAGCCGGAGGGAGTCAGGGGTTGGGGCAGGGAGACAGAGCAGCTGGAGCTGGCCTGGCTCTCGAGGCCTGCAGTGGCCCCTGGCTGCCTGGGCGGACGCTGAGGAGGTGGGGCAGGCAGGTGGGGGTGGTTACAGGATGGGCCTGGCTTTCTCTGGCTCTATTTTTATCCTGGACCTTGCCTGCCTAGCAGAGCCAGGCTTTGCTGAGGGCAGTGGGTTGGGCTCCTCTCTGCAGCCTTCACTCTGCTGCTGCCCCTGAGCACGGGGTCAGTCTGGGCCCCCAGTCAGCCTGATGGAGAGGGTGGCAGCCTGGGTGGCTGGCCCAAGGCTTCATGTGTGTGTGTGTGGGGGGGTTCCACTGCCTCTGAGCTTCTTGTCAACAGACTGGGGTTGTCTTTTGTGCCTGCAACTCTTGTTTTCTCTACCACGTCACCTTGGCTTCCCTGCGTGTGCCTGGGTTCCTCTGGGTTGGTTCCTTGAACTCCTGCAGAATCAGGCCTTCTACTGGTGGGAAGGGAGAGGAAAGTCAGCCCTTTCCCTGGAGCCAGGGTTCCCAGGATGGGGAGAGGAGACCTGTGGGGCCTCGTCCCTGCTGCCCACTCTCATCCCCAGGCCCACCTGGTCAATGTGAGGACAGTGGCAGCAGGGAGAATGGGGCTGCTGTGTCGGTATGTTGGGGAGATAAAGGGCTGAGTGCTTGATGTCTTTTGAATTCAAGGGACTGGAGAGGAGAAAAATGGAGGAGGTCTGTTGAGGTGAGGAGACTGCTAAGCTAGGAGCCTCCCTTGGCCTGGGGGCGGAGGGGGCGCAGTCAGCCCCTCCACAGCCTCAGCGGGCAGCTCAGGTGTCTCAGATCAGGTCTCCATCCTTCCCCCAGGCCTGAGGGGCTGGACAATGGGCCCTGATCAGATGACATCCCAGTTCTTCAATGGGGCCCTTGTGAGTGTCACCTGAACTCCAGACTTGAGGAGCAGTTGTCACAGAGACATGGGAGAGATGGAACCCAAGCCGGGGCTGATGGAGAGGGTAAGGGTGCAGGTGAGGGGGGTGCTGGTGGCTCAGTTAATGGCCCCATCCAGGGGGCGCACCTAGAGGTTGCCTGGAGCCCTTGAGTAGCCCGGGGTGTTATGTAGGGACCATTCTGAGAGGCGCTTGGCTGGGAGGTGGCAGTTGGGAAAGCAAAGGGAAAAATCGGGAGAGGAGTCGGGAAGTTTGAGCCCAGAAAGAGGAGGAGAAAGGAGAGGTCGGGAAGAGAGAGTTGGAGTGTGTGCAGCGCCCTGCCACCCTCTTCCTCCTCTCACATAGGCAAAGCTCTGCCACCCCAGACTTTCTGAGACCTTGGCACTTGCCAAGCCTGGGTGGGGGTGGCAGAGAGACCGGCCAGAGCGGGAGAGCGGCTGTTCCATCTACTAGCTCATCTTCACTCCCTGGGAAGCGAGGTCAGAGCTGTGTCCCTGCCGGTCCCTGGGAGACTGAAGGACCCGCGGGAGGGCACCTGAGGGCTCTGTGGTGGGAGGGCCCAGGCTCCTGGAAGCCCAGTGGCTGGGCTCCTGCTGGTGTCCACACTCACTGAGCTCCCAGGTCTCCCTCCGGCCTTCGCTTGCCTCCCCTCACTGCCTTCCAAACCCTGTCTCCCCCAAATTCCCAAGTGCTGTCACCCGAACTCCTCCCTGACACTCAGTGTACCACAGTGCCGTGGTCTCCAGATTCTTGGCACCCTGGTGAAGTCCCCTTTCCCCCAAGCTGGCCAGGGCAGGGACCTAATGCAGATGGGGCAGGATACTCACCCTCAGCTGGGCCTGAGGTGGGGAGCAGGTTCTGGACAGACAGGCGAAGCTGCAAATGTGGCTCTGGGAGCTGTGTGGGGAGACCTGTCTTCAGTCGTCCTTCCCCCGCTGACCCCCCCTCCCCACCGGCTCCACCCCTTCACAGTGGGGCAAGGGGCCAGGAGTGGACAGAGGCGCCCTCTGTCTCTTGGGCTAGAACAGGCCACCCTGTGTCCTCTTCTCCAACCTCAGTTGCCTCCTCCCCACGGGCAAAGTCCCGAAGGAAGGGAGGTGGGAAGGGGCTTGGAAGGGGCACTGAGAGGCCTCCCCTAACCTCCTGCAGTGTTATGGACTGTGGCTGCTAAGCCAGGACGGGAGGATCCCATTGAGGGCGTCCCCATGAGGGGACCTATCAGTAAGTCATTTAACTTTGGGAGTCCCTGAGGGGTCTCAGTCTGACATTCCACTAAGGGATTTCAACCCAGGGCCTCCTCTACAGGAATCTCAGCCTGGATCCGCCTCTGGGGTTTCAGCCTGGGATCCCCTGAGGGGGTCTTGGGCCACAGGGTCCTTTGCATATCTCATTCTGAGAGGCTGGCTGTGGTGTTTCTTAGCCTGGGCCTTCAGTGCTGACCCCCCTCAGCTGGTTCCTTGAATCTGCAGCCCCTACCATCCCTGCTGCTACCCGCCCAACATTCACCTTGCTGATTAGATGTGGGGGTGCAATGGGGCTGCATAGGGGGAGGGTTAGCAGCTCCAGGCAGGTCCGCACGCCCCCGCGGTGGGGGCACGCGCGGGCCCGGTTGGGGGTCGGGGTTCCGGGCCGACTGCTGGGGAAGGGGCGGGGCGGGGGTGGAGGCGTGAAACTGGCGGCTCCTCTCCCGAAGCCACTGCGGAAACTGGAAGCCTCCGGGCTTGGGAGGGGCTCTTTCCTCCCTCCCGGGGCGCCTATAAACCTCGGCGCTGGGCTGCGGCTCGCTGCGCGCCGTCTCCTTCCCCCGGTGAGTCGCAGCGCCTCGGGCCTCTTCCCCTCCCCGGGCTCCCGGCCCTGCCCCAGGAGCCAGTTCTGCCCGAGATGCAGGAAGAGGCTTTGGGAGATGCGGCGGTGGTCCTGGCAGAGGGGAGGGAGTGGGCGGGAAACGGGAGGACGGGCGGGCAGGGCCCCTTCCCCCCGCTGTCCCTCCCCTCCCGGGGCTGTGAGAGCCGGTGCCAGCCCCTTCCTGGGCGCGCCAGTCAGCGGGCGTCCCATCCACGACCCTGCGGCCTGGAGAGGTGCGGGAGGGTCTCTGGGGCCCTGGGCTCAGCACTCAGCCCAGCTGCCCCCGAGGGGCGGGACGAGTGGGGCGACAGAGAGGCTGGATCTGTCTAGACGGAGCCAGCCGTGGCCGCAGCCGGGCGTCTGCCAGGCCCTGGGCTTCTCCGCCGGGACAGCCGCCAGCTTGTGTGTGTGTGTGGGGGGGCGGGCTGCCTGCCGGCGGGGGGAGACCTACAGCCCCACACAAACAAGCTTTGGAGACAAACAGCCTCATGACCCCTTGAGGCTGGGTGAGGTGCCAAAAAGGGCCCTTGGGACTGAGCCACACGCAGACCACAAGACGGTGCGAACTCTAAAGAAGGACACTCAGACTGAAAGCCTCTGCTGAAACAGAGGGGCCTCCAAACCGAGAGACCACCACAGAGGGGTTTCTAAGGCACAGATACTTCAGAAGGACCCCCAAACTGTGAGACCTAGAAAAGAAGGGGTTTCTGAAAGAGAACCCCTCACCCCACACCTAGGCTGAGGTAGTTGCCTGGGCCCCGCCCCAAACCCCATCCCTGTCTCCTCCCTCCTCCATAATGCCTCCTCCAGGCTGGGGGCAATGCCAGGGCAGGGGCACTCTGGCCTATCCCGATTCCTTTCTCTCCTTCCCCCCCACCCTGCAGTCAGCCGCGTGAGGGCTTGGCTCCAGCCCCACAGTCCTAATGGCAGCTGAGCCGCTGACTGAGCTGGAGGCGGCCATCGAGACAGTGGTCACCACCTTCTTCACCTTTACAGGGCAGGAGGGTCGGAAGGGCACCCTCAGCATCAATGAGTTTAAGGAATTGGTCACTCAGCAGTTGCCTCACCTGCTCAAGGTAGGTGGGAGTCTCTGGCCCTGAGATTTTGGGTGACAGTGGCAGTGGGACACTGTATGTGAGGCCATCTTGCTGGGCACGGTAATGTAACCACAGGTGTGTTGTGGGGACGGGTGTGAGTGACAACGTGTGAATAGTTCTGGGTGTTCTCTCCTCGTATGTCTAACTAGGTAACACTGTGTGTGAGCGTGACTGTGTTGCTGGGCTTTGTGCTTCCATCAGACGATGCTGTGGAGCTCTTGCGTCAGCTCCCTGCCTCTCCGGTCTCATTCCCCCAACACAGGACTGGACCCAGAGCTAACTTCCCTCCAGGAGATTCACAGACCATTAACGCTAGAAGGAGGCTAAGAGAAAGCACCTTCCAAACTCCTACTTTCACATATCTGGAAACTGAGGCCCAGTTGTGGGAGGGGGTTTGTCAAAAATGAAAACATGGCCAAATTCGTGGAGTCCTAGAATGGCAGTGTAGCAGGGCCCCTAAGTGGTCTATGAGTGCTTCCTATCCCCTGCAGGGATCCCCTCAGATGCGCCTCGCCAGGTCATTCCTTTGCTTCTACTCAGAGGAAGGAGCCAGGATTTAAATTTCATCTACTCTGGATTGGTACATCACCCGAGGCTGTTAACAGTTTCCTTTATATCCTTTCTGAAAATTCACAGGCACTTAAAAGTGTGTGAATATGGATTTAAAAAACCACACACACGAAGGAGTCTGAAACTCATAGTCTGTCACCTGCAAAATCCCCTCCATCCATAAACTTCTCAGGCTTTTCCCTCCTCCTTCTTAGGACATTTCAGACTCTCCCCTGAAGGTGTGGCATTCTCTGAACCTTGTTGAACAGTGACTGGTTTTTCTTCCAAATCCAACTCCCTCTGGGCTTGGAAATGCAGGAAGTGACCTCTTAGCTTTCCCTCGCTGCCTCCAGATCTCAGTTCTCTTTTTCCTAAGACGCCCAGCTCCTTGGAAGAGCATATACCACCTGCCACCCTTCCTACTGCGTTCCTTTTAGTACTTCAGGTCCTGGTTTACTGTGCTTCTTCCCATCACTGCTACTGTCATTATCCCGAGTGTCCACACAGACAACTAATTCAACATCCAGAGCTTTTAATTGCTTAAACTTGTCACTTCCAAAGATTTGGTCCTCCTGCCTTTCAGCATCCTGTCCCTCTGCATCCTTCCGATCGGGTTGCTGAAATAATGCACCACCTGCAAAATCTCAATTTCAGGCCTCCTTTGCCTATCACCTGCCATTTCTGTTCTGTGCCTCCATCAGGCGTCTCCACGCCACTGTTTCCTTGACTCCACTGGGGCCTTTGGTCATGTTTGCACCTCCCTTCATCGCACGTTGGGTCCTCATTTCCCTTCTTACTCAGCTGGGTGCTAAGTAAGGCTCAGCGTTAAAATTGCGCCCTCAACTCCCTTGATTCTGTTTCTCTGTCCTAGTCATTTGGCAAAATTCCAGCCAGGGTTAAATCCAGCATTTCACCTCCAATAACTTGCTGGTTAATCCACCATTCTGCATCAGCCCTTGAATCTGGCTGGAGAAAAAGGCACTGCTACATTGACTTGTCTCACTGCAGATGTATCACCACAAACCCCACAGGGACCGCTTGCTAATCCTACTACATTTCCCTGGTTGATTCATTTACCGGCTCTTTCAGATGATAATTTCACAAGTTTCCCTATTCCTCAAACTCCAGTCCTTCTTTCCACATTCTCCCTCTCACTGAGAAATTTTCTGACCACATAAGAGCAATCAGGAAACTTCTCTGTGCTCCCTCCCTGCAGTCTACCTAGAATCAGGACATACCCTGCCTACCCTCCTTCCCCTGTGCCCTGCCACTGCTCAGAAGCCAGCAGCCCCTCCACCGGTGCCTTGGATCCCATTCCTGTTCACCTACTCCAAGTCAGTACTCTTTCATTTCTTCTCCTTCTCTCTTGCATCATCAAAATTTTCCTCTCCACTAGATTGTTCTGATAGGTTTTCACATATGCTGTAATATTTCCCATTTAAAAAAAGAAAAAAGAAAACCTCCCTATACAGTGTAACTCACTCCAGCTATGCCTTATATCTCTGTCCCACTTTACAACAAAACACCTCAAAAGCAACAAGTTATTTATACTGTCTCCACTTAATCTTCTCCTGGTACAGAATGCTCATCCCTAATATTTGCTAAGGTTATTCCACATGGAACTCAGATTTCTGTTCAAATGGCAAATTGGCAAATCCTCAGCGAGGCATTCCTTCACCGCTGGATGTGAAGATCACCTCTCTTGTGCTCTCTGCCTTTAAGCCACTTTATTTTCTTTCAGAATACATCCATCACAACTTGATCTCCATGAGGTACTTATCTGTTACCAAGAATGTAAGTCCCTGGGGGAAAGGAATCTGCTGGCTGTTTTATCTCCAGCATTTAGAGCCAGTGTCTGACTCTTAATAGGTGCTCAATAAAACATTGAATGAGTGAGTGAAATTGTAAAGAAGCAAAAAAAAGTTACAATTGCTGAGTGGATGAATGAATAAATGCATCCTACCTACTGTTCCACAAATAGCTTTTAAAAATGTAACAATGCACATAGGATATTTTCCCATTTAAAAAATGGTTCACTGTATTCGATTATATAGTTAACACATTTATGTATCTGATCTTCTATTGATGGACGTTTATCTTTGTGTCCATTATTTCCTCTTTGCAAACATCCTTGTTTATATATTTTTACATACTTAAGGGAAAATGTCTACATAGGGTAAATGTCTGGCAGTAGAAATACTAGGTCAAACGGCATGTTTGTTCTTTATTTTTATAGCTATTAATTTGTCTCCCAACAAGGTTGTACCAGTTTTCATGGCCACCAGCAAACAGTTTGTATGAACGTCTGTTTCCCATGTCCTTGGCCAAACTGTGTCTTGATCAGGCTTTTATTTTTTGCCAATCTAATATGTGAAAATGGTAACGTTCCAATTTACACTTCTTTAATTCTGAGTGAAATGAACATTAAAAAATTTTTTTGGATGGACATGTTTATTGCTTTTTCTGTGAACAGCTTTTTGTCAAAGAGTTTTCTTTCTCATGGCTTGATATAGCTCTTCGTAAAATAAAGAAGTGTGCCCTTTGACTATTATGTGTTGCAATATTTTCCCCTAATTTGTTTTTGACTTTGTTTTTGTCAGTTTTTGCTGTACAGAATATAAAACATATTTATGTAGTGAAATCTACCAAACTTTTCCTGAATGGCCTCTGTGTTTTATGCCATGGCTAGAAAGGTCTTCTTCAATTTGACCTGGTAAAAAAAAAAAACTCAGACTGTGTTTTATTACGAAAAATTTCCTACTGATGTGAAATACCATCTTTATTATTTATTCATTTTCCATGTGTATTTTGGGTCTCTTTATTCTGTTTCGTTCATCTGTTTATTATTTACCGAACAAAAATCTTGTTTAGTTACTGTAGTTTTATAATATGTTTTAATAACCTATAGGGTTGGTTTTTCTCTCATTCTTATTTTTCAGAATTTTACTGGTTGATCTCAGTTTATTTTTCAAGAAGAATGTTGGTTGGTAATGTTACAAATAATTCTGTAGATATTTTAATTGGGTTCATATAAGATTATATTTTAGGGAAAATTGACATCTTTACACTGTTGAATCTATCTATCAAAAAGATGTTTTTCTGTTTATCCACATATTCTATTATATCCCTCAGTTTTTCTTCACAAAAGCTTAAGAGATTTCTACTTTTATGCCTAAGTGCTCTATTTTTTACTGTTTTAAATGGGATCTTACATTTTCTAAGTGGTTAACTTTCATATACCTAAAATATGCTATTTATTGTGTCTTAATATTGTAACCAGGCACATCATTTCTAACAGTTTTTTGTGGGGGAAGAAATACGGAGTACTAGGTAAGGGCATAAACTCTGAATCAGATAATCTAGGTTCTAGCTTGAATCCTGATTAATTTTTAATCTTCCTGAGCCTTAATTTCTCATCTGTGAAATAGACTCATAATAATAATGCCTTCTTTGTTGTACTAGTCTTGCATTTATTCAGTCAATATTAACTGAGCACCTACTATGTCCTGTCCTGACACTTTTGTAAGATTTGGGTTCCAAGCATCTGCCATGTGCCAGACATTCTCCCAGGCACTGGGATTACAGTGTAAACAAGAGGGACAAGGTCCCTGTGCTCAGGAAGCCTTTCATTGTAGCAGATGATGAGGATTAAATGAGATGCAGTGTGTATTGTGTTTAACACTGTGCTTGAAACAGTCAGCACTATTAAGTGCTTCCCCTTGTTGAAATGGTAGCCATAATCGCCCTTGGTTTTTTTTGGGTTTACCAATTATATAAT